ATTTCATTTAAGACTTCTTAATCTGATATTTATGTCTAAGGAATAATGGTACTTCTAAACCTTGGATTGAAGAGTATGTTATCTATTTAAATTTTGTATAATTCATTCTACTTATAATACTGTATTATTGCTGATTACAATCACTTTCATTCAAAATCCATCCTTTTAATATTGTCAAAGTCTCTTTGTGAACCATGGACCCAGTGATAGTTTACTTAACGTCTTTAGCACATATTTTTAGGGTTTCTTAAAACTCCCTAACTCATCACTTAAGAAAAAATACTACAAAGGATTTAAAATTCAGGGAATATTTGCAAAGCAATGAATTTAAAAAGTTAAAGTATTTTCCTATACAATCTTATATAATCTTTAACATAGTAATATGCCTTATAATTACCCAAGAAGAAAGAATGAAATATGATGAAGAACCACCGAATATTATTTGGGACTTTGTAAGAGTATATAGCCTGGTCTTACACTCCAAGGATGCTAAGCCATAACTTATTTTCTACGGCTTAATCGGTCATCAGCTCATTAAATGAGATATGATATGCAAAATTAGTGCTCAATAACTGTTATTATATGATAGCCTCCACACTTTTATCTTTTGCAAACATGTTTAATCATTCTGATTTCGTTGCAAAAAGCATAAAACATATACTCCTCAACTGTGGTTTAGCCTCATCCCCTTCTTCACCATGCACCTTCCTTCTCTTTCTGTCTTCTCTCTTTCATATTTCATTCTTTATGTATCTACAACACATTAACTTCTTCCTGACTTAGCATCCTCACATTTCCTCTTCTTTCAGCCTAGAGCATCTCATCACCCCAGTTGTTTTCCTTGCTTTGTTTATTTATTTGTAGGCCACTTTCTTCAGGAAGTTTTCCCTGAACCCCAACATTTTACCACAGGCTTCCTGAACTTCTTCACATCAACATGCCAGTAATTACAAAATAAGTAATTATTACATTATTATATATGTGTTTTCCTTGCTAGCTCTATAAGAAAAGATAAAGTTGTGTTTTGTTTATCACTGTATTTTTAGAGTCATCATAATAACTGACAGAGTGTTTGCTTTGTAAACATTTGTTGCATTAATGAATGACTAAAAATAGAGGTAGGTTAACTAGCTAGCAAGATTTCTCTAAGATAATTATAAGCAGTGACTAGAGAGATTTAACTTCATAAATTCTCAAGGCCACTTGGGGGCTCGAAAGGCAATATCCCTCCCCTGCTAAAAAAAAAAAAAAATCCTCTGTTTTATGGAACAATTTCCCACTGTGACTATCTTTAAGAGACAAAGAGACATTTTTGCGTGGTAAATGCCACTCAGAAGCTTTCATTTTAGCTTCATTGAAAATAATCTTGGTTCCCTGATAGGTACTATTTCTAGCATTTTCAATATTTGGCACCTTAACGGTCATCTGACTATATTTTGTCAGCTCTGCTTGTCAATTTGCAGACCAATTTTTGATATATTCCATACATTTTACCTCCATTAACATTTTTCAAGCAAAATATCTCCTTCTTATATGGGATGACTTTGACTTCTCATTTACTCTTCCAATTTTCTTGCATAAATGCTCAGAGAAATCTGTATTTTCTATTTGAAAATATATTTTATCCGTTTAGATAAAAATACCTTTCTATAGTTCCCAAAGAAAGCACCACATTTCTTCTTATTCTGATTTTGATTTTTTTTTCCTGAAATCTTTTTGCCAAAAGCACTACAAGGAACAATCTATTTTGCTTAGGGAGTGGCAAAGACATTCTTAACCCTCTGTGGTCTGCGTTTGTTGAAATTTAACTGGAGCATTTTTCATCATATGTTAGAAAGGTTGTATTTGCCCTACAATAGTTCCCCTACGTGGGGGAACTGTCCTAAAGCAATGCAATCCAATTTACAAAGTTTTCGATTCATTTTCCCCATAAGAATGACTAGTCAGAGTCTACATGTTAAATGTATATACTTGAAAATGGGAAAGCAGTTTAAAAATTACCTGGAAACCAGATGCGTGGACACAGCCTCAGGCTTCTACAAGCTGTCTTTGCTGTAGTGACTGGATTGTGTGTGTAATCACAAAAAAATTTTTCAGTAGTGTTTTACCTTGGCCATGTTCACTGGGAAACTATTTCCTCGATGACTCTGGGTTTTTGAAATAAATTCATGTCAAGTTATTGTACTAGCTGCTGACTAGTATTTAAAGCTTTGTAGAATATTATTAAGGTACTTTAGGACAAAGTTAATGTATTTTCATTATAGATGATATCAAAAATAAATATAGCTTTATTTAAAAATATAAAACATAAAGGGAAAATGAAAATCACTCATAATCCAAGAATCTAACAAGACTAATTACATCAAAATAACTATTCTTTCTAAAGAATAAAGTATATTTCTCTTCTCTTCCCTCTATCAGACCATACCACATATGTGGTTATACAATTTTCTCTTTTTAGACAATTTTATCTTATGAGCCTTTCCCTATGTCAAACAACTCACGGAATTATGAAATAAAAGTATTTTGATGTGCCCCAAAATATCTTCAAATTTAATTTCCCTGTCCCTTACCTACCTCTGCGTTATTTTCATTCAACGTAATTATTTATTAAATTTAGGAGATTTTTTTCTCATTATCTTTATATTCACTAGAATTCTATGAAACAAAAAGATGGCTCCTTCTCAGCATTTTTCTTCACAATTATTAAAATAAATGTGATACAAAAGATAAATTGCAGGCATTGCAGAATAAGCTTCTGTAAATGCAAAGTAAAGACTAATATTCAACATTAGTCAGGTGTGAAGGGTTTCAGTATATAATAAATGCAAGTAGTTACAGCTTTATCATTTTTAAGAACACTTCTAAATGTTTAAATCAGCATTGCTTATATAAGTGACATAAATTTCTAAATTTCTCAGTGCCTCCGTATAAAAAGAAAAAAAAAAAAACCAGACTTGATTAATTTAATTATATTTTAACCCAATTCCCTAAACATTCTGTTATTTCAGCATGTAGTTAATATAAAAAAAATTAACGTAACTTTTTTGTACTAAGCCTTTGGATACCTTTGTGTATTTTACCTTTATAACAAATCTCAATTTAAGCTAGCCACAATTCAGGTGCTCAATAGCCACAAGGAGCTAGTGGCTACCATATTGGACAGTGTACGTATACATTTTCTTGCGTAGAAAAAACAATTTAATGGAAAAAATATGCTTCTATTTCAAAAGTAAAATTTGAAGTTTAAGAAGTCAAACATTTTCTGATGCTTTCAGAGTTTTCTTTTCAGAAATAATCCTTTCTTAAGATCTAATTTTAATTTAAGACCAAATGAAAGTGATACTCTTAAGTTCAGCTTCATAATATTTGATACAAGTAATTTATCTTTAATATATACAATTCTGATGTGTTTTTTTGTTGCTTATAACGTTACTATTTAGATAATTACAATATTTCATATTAATAATGTAGATCGCTGCCTGATTTAGCAAATATTTTGTATTAGCAAACCATACAGCTCTGTGGAAGGCCAAAATAAAATCCTAAAATATTAAGTTCAAAGACAATCTAGAATCACCATGGAATTGAGAAAGATATGTTTAGATTTTCAATAAAAACTAGCCTGTCAGAAACAAATATTACTAAATATCAGTGGCTATGATTATTTTTCTAGAACTTGCAAAATTAGAGATTGAAAATGAAGAAGAAAGACAGATGAGGCTTCTTTTTTTAAATGGGAGACAAAGAAAAGATTTGAAAACAATTCTAAAAATAGTAAACTATATAATACATTATTTATTTTGAACTTACTGATGTCAATAGCTTGACACATGCTGCTATCTAATTCTTATATTTTCTTTATCATTTTTTATTCACAAATTGTGGTTGCTTCTGTTTAGCTGACAGGAAGGTTTGTGAAACAGTATATATAATACCACATTTATGCTTAATTGTTACAAAACTACATTTCTCTGAGCTTATTTCCTTCCCTACAAGGGAGGATGATCATAGTCTTGAATTCATCATTTTTAATGTACATAACCTGAATCTTTACTTCTTTACCAAATGTCTATTAGCATCTTGATTAAGGATTAAAAACGTCCCACTCAGAGCCCCTTTTTAACTTTTTTCCCTAAAATTTGTGAGACATTTGCCATTACGTCTATTTCCACTTGAATTTAACTAATGGGGAAATAATGACACTTTCTCCTGATATGGTGCAAGGTGCTATTTGGTATGAGGATTTAATGAGAAGATTCAATAGAAAACTCTATTAGACATGCACAATGTTGTGCAAAGGTGAGGTTTATCCTTTTAAAAAATATGTTCTGCCATTTGAAACCAAGAAAAGTCTTTTGCCTTTGTCCTCAATTTGCTTTCCATTGGACATTGTGAACTAGGAAGCAGTGGATGTATTTCACCCAACGAGAGCAGTGAGAAAGTGATTCCATATTCCCTGGATGAATTTTCCACTTTACAGTATCTGACTCTAAACAACTTGGCTGTACCGAATGTCTTCTCAAGATGATCCGTACTAAGGCATGATTATTCAGAAATATTCTTAGGTTGCCAAAATAGCATGTCACTTTCTCTCTTTCTGGGAAATAAAAATGTATGCAAGAAATTTTACATTTTTAAAGTAGAAGTGAAATTCCTTTTAGACAGCTAGATGGGCCAATCTCAAGAGAGAGATTTCAGCTTGGAAACTTTGGCTCAACCATGTTGTTTATTGAAGTTGTGTCTATTTGCAAAGTCTTTTTTTTTTTTTTTCATACTGTCTCAGCATTCAGAAAGAACAGTGGGAACCTGAACACTTATCTGCATATGTTTACAGTATCCAATCAATTTGCATCAATAACGATTTAAAACCGGCAAATTAATTTGTGAGGTGACTTGTTTGAGTGAAAGTCTTTAAACATTCTCTGGAGAGCTATTGTGAAATCACTGAATACAAGCACTATATTTAGAACATGTGTCGAGTCTCTGAATGCTCAGCAGCAGTAATAGGTCTATTTCTGCAGTAAGGACTGCTTCCCTGTGGAATTCCACTGGGAAGATAAATGAAAAGATCCCTGAGTAATAGTGCCATATTTCAATGGTAGGTCAAAGAGTGGCTCTAACATGGACTTCATGGTTAAAGGTCTCTTATCTTATTCTTTAAATAAATATTTACTGTGCATCTATTATGTGCCTCTCCATTTTCCAGGTTCTGGGAAAACAACAAAATCAAAATATATTATATGCTTGCCCCATGGAATTTGTGTTCCCAGAAGTATACAGATGAAGAAAATAATTTTAAGAGTAAGAATTGCAAAGAGGGAAATGAACCAGGTGATCCAATAGAATAGTAAGAAAGACTTCACATTTTGTATATAGTTGTCAATTAAAGCTGTACTGAGAAGAGCTGAATGTTGTGAAGAAGCCAGACAACGAGATGAGAAGCTCCTGGGATGAGTGACCATCAGGCCATCTGCAAATTAACTGAGGTGAGAAAGCAGTTTGTGTATTTAATTATCAGATAATAGACAGTAATTTTAGTCATGGCTAAGAGTTTGAATTTTAAATAAAACTTCAAGAGAAGATGATTAAACATTATTTTCAGAAAAATTTGTTTTATTAATATCCCTTTATTTGCTACATTTTGAATGGTTTACGGCAAGACAAGGGTGGGAGAGAAAGATCAATATGGTGACTATGATAGGGGTTCAGATTGATGACAGTGGTAGTATGGACTGGAATATTAGCAATGAAAGTGAAGAATAGATTATTTCAAAATATGGTTTAGAAATAGGATGTGGGGAGGTAAAGAAAGGAAGGAACAAGAGTCATTATCAGGTATTATGGCTTGAGGAATTAAGTAAGTGGTGATAGCATTTATTGGACAAGGACTGAGGGAAGAAGATACTTGGAGGACAAAACTCAAATACTTCTTTAGATGTATTGATTTTGAGATAACCATTTTATGTTCTACTTTCTACTGGATAGCTACATTTAGATCTTTGGAAAGAAGGCATCCAGCCAAAATAAAAGAGTTGGACATGAGTCTTAGTCTTTAGAGAACAATTTGTTTTATTTGTTTGATTTTGTTTTGTTTTGTTGGTAATCAGTGTCATCTGAATGCTGCTAGCAGCGTGGGTAGGATTCAGCATATGAGTTCTGAGTGAATGATAATAAAGACTGAACTATTTATGAGAATTAAAAGCTTTTAAGTCTGGTATTTTCTTCGGCACTGTGCTTAAAATGAGATAGTATCTCTCCCCTCCCAAACAATGTATCTATTAAAATCTACATGCAGGCAGAGACCAACATGTCTATCATATATGGATGCCTTGCCAAGACCTGGCTCAGGACCTGACATATAACAGTTACTCAGCAGGTATTTAGGGAATAAATTACGTGAAAATGAGCGAAGCTCAGACAGTGACGTTTGCAACGTTGTTTTTCCTTTTCCTGGAGAAAAATGTTGGCTTCAAGTGTAGTGAAACTAACTTAAGCATTTGCCATCCTCCTTTTCTTCTTATGTCAAAGATTATTTGAAGTAACAGCGAAGAATCTGTAAAATAAACAAATAAGAGGGCTACTGCTGGTTACTAACTAATATTGCCAAAAGCTATTATTTTGGACTGGTGAGCTACAGGTTACCTGAACGCTGTGAAGATGAGAACAGCTGGTTAGACCTGTGTTTTCTTCAGTGTGTCTCTCTTCAAAAGAACAATTCCCAGATATTGTTGGTTTCTGCCAAGAGACCCCTGGATATTTCAATTTTATCAATGTGATTGGGCTTTAGAAAACAAAGTTAAAGATGTTTTTTTGTTTGTTTGTTGTTGATTTTGGTTTTTTTTTTTTTTTTTTTTTTTGCTTTTATAGTGGTTCCCTCAAAACAGTGTTTGCTTAGTGGAATGGCACTGACTAGTTTCAGAGAACACTGGAAAATCTCTTTTCATTCTAGTTTATGGGCTCGTTTTATATGTATATAATCATACTGCTCTTTTCAAGCAAAAAAAAAGCATCCCCCAAATGGATCAACAGTCACATTATTCACCAATGTGCAGCTGGATGTTTGCTCTTTCCAAAGGTTATCAAGTTAACTACTCATCATTAGAGAGGGTGTTTATTTTAAAAGGTCATAGACTCAGAAGGCAGCTGCACAGATCCCTAACATGTGCAGTTTGTTCACCTATAAAGGGGTGAGGTTTGCACTCCATGGATGTTCAATGGTCATTCAGTATTAATGTAAATTTCCAGAGCCCCTAAGAACCCACCTTGGGTGATCATCTGTGTCTGCCCTTAACTATCGTTTAAAAGAGTCGGATTTTTCAGAAGCAGTCTCAAACATGTTTTGAGAGAAATACTGAAATAAATATGCATCAACTAGTGAGATTACTTGAGGTAAATGAGTACACTTTGAATATTTACTCATTCTGGAGTTTTATTTTTTATTTTGTTATTCATTTCTTTTTTTACTTAAAATATTTATTGAGCTCTTAGTGAATGGAGGCACTAAGCAAGGATAATCTTGTGAACCCCAATATTTACAGCACCTTCCTTGCTGCAACTCCCACTCTTAATATAATAGAATATGCTCATTATTCCTCCTTCCTTAAAAGAACAAGTTGTGTTTCTATTATTATTATTAACCGTAGAGGCTTACATAAAGAGTGCATTAAAAATCACACCCAAATACAACTGCTGACAGTTTGTGCCAATCTAATTGTGTTTCTGCCATCCCAGAAAAGGTATCTGATGTCACTTATAATGAGGCCATGAATTAGCAATCAACTGGAAAGAGACAGTTTTAAATACAACCTCTTCACAATTTAAAGCAGATCTTTGGTACTAAACACGTTATCAGGATTGCTAAGTGTTCCTAGAAAGCAAATGTATTTCTCCTTCTCACCTCATACCACATGCTATGAACAAGAGGGGAATTGCAAGGCAGCATGGGCTGTGCAGAAGCACCCACAGTGGGAAAGTGGTGGGTGGCATGATTTGCACTCTAGGTGTTGCTGATCGCCCCCTCTAATGTGGAACAAGAAGCCTGAAAAGAGTTATAAAAGAAGCAGCTCGAAATTATTCTTTTGCACCTTTTAAGTAATGTGCTACAGGGATGTGGTTAAGAACATGGACTTCTCTGAAGGTGTGTCAGTTTGACTCCAATCTGTCACTTTCTAGAGCTGTCTGCTTCAGTAGTCATGTGTGGATATTTAAATTTAAATTAATTAAAATTAAATAAAAATGATAAGAGTGACAGCTCCACAGTCACGCTCATTGTATTTCCAGTGCTCAGATACAGAAAGAACATTTCTATCATCAAAGAAAGTTCCGTTGAACAATGCTATTCTACAGCAATCACTTTCATTTCCATGGCTAACATTCTATCTAGTTAAACCTAACTTCTTTACCCACCTTTGCTAGATCAGTCATCTCCCTTCTTTTACATTTGCTTTCTTGTGATTTCTGCTCAGAAGCCATTGCCATCATTCTGAAACTTAAATTAAAGCCAAGGTGGGAGGATCACTTGAGGCCAAGAGTTGGAAGCTGCAGTGAGCCATAATCATCCTACTGTACTCCAGCAGCAGCCTGGTCAGCAAAGTGAGACCTTGTCTCAAAAAGAAAGAAAGAAAGAAAGAAAGAAAGAAAGAAAGAAAGAAAGAAAGAAAGAAAGAAAGAAAGAAAGAAAGAAAGAAAGAAAGAAAGAAAGAAAGAAAGAAAGAGAAAGGGATATGTAAATCTAACCATGATATCTTCCTTTGTAGTTTCTCTTTATATTCCAGTAAAATCCATTGTTGTGGTCTCCAACTTTACATATATGAGTCATAACATCATATTCTATCATTCCACATATCACCCTCATTTCGTTTTCCCCTTTACTACTTTCAAGCCACAGTGGCTTCATTTTGGGTGTTGACTGCTGCAAGGATGGTCTTCCTTTAGAAATTTTGGTCTAGATATTTCATCCCTGGAAATCTTCTTCCCCTTTAACATCACGTGACTCACTTCTGTTCAATCACATTTTGAATCAAGTTTAATTTCGCCGGGAGACCTTGAATGGCCACTTACTTATATTCTATCATCTCAATTTCTTTTTATAGGCTTTACCATTAACTATTAATTTTTATTTCTCACTTTTTTGTATATGGTCTGTCTTTATCCACTTTAATATGATCTCTGTAAATGCTGGGGTCTTGTATCTTTTGTTCTATGCTGAGTCCTCAGTGACAGCAAATTGTTTGACACAGATAAGTGTTCAATAAATAATTTGAAATGGCATAATAGAACAGGCAAAATTGAGCACATTATTGTACGTTCCAGAGCCACTGCAAATTTTAGATTGATTAGCTTCTTTAATCTTCACACTTTCCCTCTGAAGAATGTACTAATAAGACCTTTATTTTCCAGATGAAGAAAGTGCCTAAGCAACATTTAGCACCATTTATAATTTTCACAAATGGCAGTGCTTAATGATTTTCCTGAGCCCCCTAGCCAATGTTGCTGTTGGAAACTTTGTGAAACATAAAATGTGTCAGTTGTTAAAGAAGCAGAAATGACATGAACATTAGAAGTAACATTATTAACATCTCCTTCATCTCCTTGCAGTGAATTACCCTCGCCTGGCTTCTGCCTCATCTGTTCCATACCAAATTATATCTACACGGTTCCTGCTGTCACATACCTGCCTCAGGTAGGATCTGGGTTTAACAATCCAAGCCCAGCTACATTTATATTGAAGCGTATTCACAAGAGAAAGCTAAATGTTGAGTTTCAGATCAAAATATCAAGTAAACAAATTATATAGGGATAACAACATGAAGTGAGAAATTGGACTAAATTATCTAAGAATTTCTTCATGTAAATTCTTAATTCTACCTGATTTTACAGAGGTACTCTGCTCATTAGATCATGTTAAGTATGTGGCTTCAAATCTCTGAGCCACTGAACACTTCATGTGCATTAGTTTGTATACACAATTATGATGTAACTAAGCTGAAGACATAAACCTCAAGGCACATCTAAACATTTTCAATAGAAAAAATATCCTATTTTTAACTATTTATATACTTAAGACAACAAGGGGAGCCCAGAGAGTCTTACTAAGGATAAAACTTAAATATATTGGGGATTATAAGTCTATGGATCCATTTTTCATCTGCATTATACAAAGGCCCACTCATCCAAATAGCTAAATGCTGCTTTTGTGCATGTAAGGGATTGATTTGGATACTGCTTAGTTTGGCTGAACAAGGAATCCTTCCTCAAGAAGTGCACAGTGTTAAAGGGAAATGACAAATCCATTTGTCCATCTAACTATAACTAGAAAGAGGGTGGAATTGACTATATTTTGGGGAAGCTAAAGATGGATTGGTATGACTAGTTGAACACAGATTTCAGTTCTGATACTTTCTTTCCTTGAAGAGTATTGATTATATGAGATCACCATGATAATGTGTCAAACTTTGTGTAAGGCCCACAGATGGGAGCCATCAAGGATGGTGAGAAACACAACCAGGAAAAGAAATTAAGGGACTGGTGGTTGAGTGTCTTTTTATAGAAATATATAAATGCATCAAATGATCACAGATAAATGGAAAATTATATCCAGAAGAGCCCTTGTGTACCAGTAAACCAATGTCTATTTAAGACAGAGTGTCAGATAACAGAAGCGACTGCCCAAAAAATATTAGATGGTAAATCTTCAACCAGATTCATGTCTCTTGAATACTTGTCCACAGCTTTTTTCTAAGTATTATTCTTCTTAGAGTCATTGCAAAATTGAAATGATTCTAAATGAGGCTGGGTACAGTGGCTCATGCCTGTAATCCCAGTACTGTAGGAGGCTAAGATGGGCAGATCACTTGAGGTCAGGAGTTCGAGATCAGCCTGACCAATATGGTGAAACCTGGTCTCTGCTAAAAATACAAAAATTAGCCCAGTGTGCTGGTGCATGCCTGTAATCCCGGCTACTCAAGAGGCTGGAGCAGGAGAATCGCTTGAACCTGGGAAGCAGAGGTTACAGTCAGCCAAGATCGTGTCACTGCTCCAGCCTGGGGGCAGAGTGAGACTCTATCTCAAAAAAGAAAGGAAAAGAGAAAATAAAATAAAATAAAATAAATCTACATGAGACAGAGTTCAAATGCAGAAAAGAATTCTATTTTTTAAGTGAGGCATCAGAATTTTAAAGAAAATAACTACCTCATTAGTAAAGCAGGTCACTAAAAGAAGGTTAAAAATGGCCATGATGACATATTTTCTTGAAATGACATATATACTCTCCTGAATAGAGTTAAGAAACTGGGCTTTATTTCATTTTTTAAAAAAATGCCTATAGTCTCTCTTGTTGGTGCTGTACTCTTGTGATTCTATATTTAGCCTAATAGCCTGATGTCTCCCTACACACATACCTTTAATCCCACAGTCTGCTCACCATTTTCCAAATGTATCATAGCCTTTTCCGCTTCTCTCCTGTGCTCAGGCAAAGCCTCCTGTTTGGATTTTTCATTCTTGTATTTATGGTTACCATGAGCCTTGAGGTAAGTAAGATTTTTAACATTTTGAGAACTGCAAGAGAGGGGTATTTTCTGTCCCACATTAAAATTGGTCACCCTTCCTCTATTTTCACAACAGTATGCTGACAGTTCTGTTGCTGTATTTCATTAACTTACTCAACAGTTATTTACTGTCTACTATGCAGTAGGTTAATAGGCTATAAAACCTTAGAGTACCAGTAAATAACCTGTTTTACCCACAGGAGCTTATGGGCTTCTTAAGGTCATGGAGCATATCTTATTTATATATGCATTGCCCACAGCTTCTAATATCATACAATAAACATATTAGAAACTTAATGTTTATTGAATAGACAAAGCATGATCCATCAGCTTCAAAGTGATTCTTAAGCCTGAAGGAACCCAAGGGCACCTCTTGACAAGAAATGAACAGATTAATTTACTACAAACTATGACCAAAATCCATGCTTCATTTTCAGGAATATTGAATCTGTGTCACACATTTGGGAAAATCTCAGGCATCAGGAAAGTGACTCACTGCTTGACATCTCCCCTGGAGGTTTAAGCAAAGGCAAATGATTTGAGTACCTGGCCAAATCTGAGCATTCCTGCAGGGGAGGAGGAGTGGAGGTCTTTGGGAAAATTTTGAGCAGCATGAGAGTCTCCTCAGGAAGGAAGATAGGAAGGAATAATGTCTGCAAGTTAGTATATGGTTGGATGGACAGCCAAATGGCTTGATGGCATAAGAGGAAATAGTTCTTAAGGCCACCCTCCCCGCAAAACACACTTTCCCATCCATATGACAGGACTGGGCTACTTACCAGTAGTTTGGTTTACCAGATTGCATGTCTGCTGATGCATGAATGACAAGGATAAAGCGAAGACTAGAATTATATTAATATATACATTCCATTATACATATAGATGTAGATTGGTATAGCTCTATCTGTAGATATGGATATAGATAATACCAGTATTGACTAGTTCTCTGTAGAAGAGTCAGCATACATTGGAGTGTACATGAATCATTTGTGGTTTTTAATGTGGTTGTCATAAGAAAGACTGATATTTAAAGTTCATAAAATGAACACTGCAAGGAAGTATCTTTTGTGATTACCAAGAAATTTCTTGGAACTTATTGGAACAGGAATCCACTGAGGTGTTTGTCTTTTTTTATTTGTCGCCCCAAATGCTGTCTTAAATTACGTAAGTCCTAAAAAAAATTTCCTCATCTTACGGTGTTTCAGACTTTTTTAGAGAATGAAAATTATACTGATCATTATGCTTTATAATAAAAATGTAGTATATTATATGTAAGAGTTGAGTGGCACGTGCCACTCAATTCCTTATTGAATGCAGGTCACATGCACGCACACACTTACACACACACGCACACACAAACATAAATACACATACCATGCACGTTGTATTTTTAGGTATTTTGTTAATTTTATTTAAGGTATTCACTATATATATATTATATTATATTTATATTTATTTATTTTGAATATTTATTATATAAAATATACATCATATATTTTAAAATATATATTATTTCCAAATATTTCTAAACTTTATTTTATTTGCCAAAATATATCTCTAGGTAATCTATGCTTATTGATCTTAATAATTCACTTTCTAATTTCATTGAAATAAGTCAATTTTAATCTTTCACAAGATAACACATAAAATGTAAGAGACACCTCCTTCTTCAAATTATGTTTCTTCTCATCTCTGGATTACACTCCAGTGTTTTATGAAAGAAAGGTTCATCAAATACTATGTAAAACTATATAACATTGCAAATATTTGACCATTTTCATTACTTTTAAAGCCAAAAATTTCTCATGATTCAATGTAACACTTATAATATGTATGGCCATCTATTACATTCAAATATTCAAGTCAGGCTAAATACTCTATTGACTCCTAGATGCTCATTTTTTTTATATGAAAAGTGCCTTTGAGCTGACAGGTTACCATTGAATGGGATTAGAAGAAAAGAACAGTAGTATAACATTTACAAGGAATATAGTTAGCAATGAGAAAAGAGTTGCTTGCTCTTTCAGCCTTGGGAAGGCACTTTCAGAATGCTTAATAGTAATATCAAAATGGGGTTTTGAAACAAGAATACAATTTTACCAAGGAGGAAAAGAAGAGATGACATTCTAGCCAAGGTAAACAATGTATACAAACGAATTAAGGCAGAAGGTAGCAAGGTGAATTTAGCAAATTAAAACCAGTTTTCTTTTGCTATTGCACAATTAGGCAGGAATGTGAGGGTGTGTGTGTGTGTGTGTGTGTGTGTGTGTGTGGTGGGGGCTTAAATTTGAAATTATAAGACATGAAGCTAGAGATACAGTCTAGGATGAGATTTAGAATGTTTTTTATTTTATATCATACAAAGGATTTTACATAACTGTTGTCCCAGAATGTTCTAATTGGCACCTCTATGGAAGCTAGACTAAAGATGAAGGAGTTAGAGGAAAAGGAAATCATTAGAGAATGTTCTATATAGTTTATATTATTGTGATTTCCTTCTTCCTGAAGTAGCACAGAAGAAGAAAAGAGAAACTGGTGGGTTTAAGTAATATATGAAACATGAAGTCAACAGAATTTGATATTAATTGGATGCCAGAAACAAAAATGAAAGAGTAGTAGTAGTCCTAGGTAGTTCCATGTACTGGTTTCAGTGACATGTTAAAATGGTGCTGCCTTAGAGACAAAAAAAAAAAAAAAAAAAAAAAAAAGGAAAAGTGACTAAGACCTACTGTAGTAACTTAGTTGTATATTTTGAATAATTTTAAGAATGTAATTGGATGGTTTGTAACTCAAAGGATAAATGCTTCAGGGGATAGATACTTCATTCTCTATGATGTACTTATTTCACAGTTCATGCCTGTTTCAAAACATCTCATGTATCCCCACAAACATATGCACCTACTGTATACCCACAAAATTTTTAAATAATAATTTAAAAAACAATTTTTAAAAAATGGTGCTGCCTGGACAGGCATGGTGGCTCATGCCTGTAATCCCAGCACTTTGAGAGGCTGAGCCAGCAGGATTACCTGAATCCAGGAGTTCAAGACCAGTGTGGGCAGCATGATGATACCCTGTCTCTATTCAAAAAAGAAAAAAAATGTAAAAAAAAAAAAAAGAACCAGTGCTGCCATTTCTTGAAATAAAGAATACCATGGTTGTAAAGAAGCAAGTATATTAGATTTCATCCAGGCCTTCAGCCTCAGCATCCATACCCAAAATTATTTCACAAAGGAAAACATATTGAAAGATCCATGCATGTGGATTTGAATTTTAAAATTTCAGTTTTCAATATATATTACTACTTGCATGGGTTAAAAAGACTACGTTATAATGTGAGGATTTTTGTGTAAATAGAAACAAGCATTAAATGTCAAAATCATTATTGTTGTGACAATCCTCATTCTTTTCATCCTCAAACTTGTGCATTAAAATAACACTGATTTTTTTCCCCATCATCATGTAAGATAAAAATAACGTTTATTTTATCTTTGGTTATAGAGAATGAGTAGGTTCATTAAGATTGTTACGTAGATTACTGAATATTCAAAGAAATGTGTTGCAAAAAATATTTCAGGATCCAAAAACATTAAGATTTAAGGGCAAAATAGTGAGCAAAGTAACATTCAACAATAATCTACTATAAATCTTAAACTTTCTATAAAAAACTTACATTAACTCAAAAATTTAAACTAATTGTAGCTGTTTTCTATACTAAAACTGTGAGAAGTCATTTGAAACTACTTTTAGATTTCAATTGACATTTATGGAAACTATCTTATGTATTAGGCACCTTGTGTTGACAGTCTCTAAAGTAGACCAATAATTTCCAACTTTAGGACAGTCTTGGTCTTAGATTTCTCCTCCCCTCAAGTGGGGCCTGGACTTAGTGACGCTTGTGATGAATAGAATGTTCTCACTAATAAGAAGTGTGAGCCAAACAATGAAAACACATGGACACATGGCAGAGAACAACACACACTGGGGCTTGTTGTTGGGAAGAAGGAGAGGGAGGACATCAGAAAGAATAGCTACTGAATTCTGGGCATAATAGCTTGGGGATGGGTTGATCTGTGAAACAAACCACCATGGAGCACGTTTACCTATGTAACGAACCACACAACCTGCACGTGTACCCCAGAACTTAGAATAAAAGTGGAAGAAAAAAATATAGCAGAAGTGATTTTTGAGATGGGGTTATATAAAAACTTTTGCTTCTGTCTCATTTACTTTAAGCCTTCACGCTCACTTTCTGAGTCTTTCTTTTTCTATTTCCTTGTTCACTGTGGGAGAATCCAGCTGCCCTGTTGTCAGTAGCTTTGTGAAAAACCATAATGGCAAGCTGGGGTCTCCTTCTAAGAGTCAGCAAGGAAATAGTTTCTTGCCAACAGTCCTGTGGCTAGGCTTGAGAGCAGATCATCTAGCCTCAGTCTGTAGCTTTAAACTCCAGCCTTTACCACCAGTTTCAAACCTCATGGGAGAGTCTAAGCTAGAAGAAACTAGTTAAGCCACTCCTAGACTTCTGACCCTCAAAAACTATGTAAGATAATAAATGTTTGCAGTTTTAAGCTGCTAATACTGGAACAATTCACATAACAATTTACACATGCATTAGTTTAATTTATTCCTATAAATGTTTCTTATAGATATTAAGATTTTCATTTTACAGAATAATTTACTGAGACTCATAGAAGCAAAACTGTTACTGAGATTTGAACTCTGTTCAGTCTGGCTCCTTCCTAATTCTTTCCATTATACCTGAATGTTTTTTGGGAATTTAGGGCTCTCTAGGACTAATTGTGGTAATTCTCATGTTTATGTTACACCTACTTCCTTGGTTTTGTTTCTGACACTTTCTGATCACTCTTGCACAGACAATCCGGTTAAGAGTATGATGCAGCTGTTTCAAGCAACCTGCTGCTTTGGTTGCAGCTGAGAACAACTAACTTTCCCAGCAAGCTCTGATTAGCATTTTGATCTTG